TAACCCTATATCTGACTCTTTTAGTTTTAGGACTTACAAACAACCGTTATGTGAACAAAACTATAATACTCTCTTTAGCAACTTTGTTGCAAGAGTATAAAAATAATAATAATGTAATAGACTGTGCTACGCCATTTGTGTTCACATTATATCCATGATCTGCTCACTGAAGTTCGCCTCTATTTCAAGTATTGGGTTTACTAATTTCATACATATTGATCTCTCTAAATAAAGACTGTTGAGAATGGATTGCTCTCACGTACTCTGAGTACTTTCATTCTATCTCAGTAAGAGTCGTGTTTCTTGAAACATTGAATAAGTAGCTCACCGCACTAAAATGTTCCAACCTATAGATCAGAAATAGATGAGACTTCAAATTCTTTAGAAGCTCGAACTTGTTAACTCTAGACAAGGTCTTTTGGGTGCCGACAAAAAATTAGCATTTTTATCGTGTTATTTGTGAATTTAAAAGGCTTGATTTTCATTACAGTGTTTCGGTAAGCTTCGTTTTTTAAAACTATCTCAATATAGTGAAATTCGGCTGCACCGAAGCTATAATTTCTGAATTTTCTTGTGCAGGCAATCATATTTCGGGCCCCTGCGAACTCGATCGGCCTCAACCCATTTGAAAAGATTTCGCCATGAAGACCAAATTTTCCAACTATTGCACCAAATACGACTTCTTTGCCCACCCTGTCGTTAAAATCGCGGTGGCAGCTCTCATAGGTGCGCTCTAAGGGCTCATAGAAGGCATCTTTGGTCATTTCGTCCTTCTCTTCCGACAGCGCGTGGGCGTAAATCTGTGTTACAAATCCCACACCAAATTTGCGCTTCTTTATATGCAGCACGTCCATCACATTTCCTGGATGGCGATGATGGCAGCCATTACTTTTACGAGGACATCAACCAGCTGAGCATCTACTACGGAGGACATTCCAGGTGAATGCCCTCAAATCATAGTCCTTATTACGTTTACTGTGGTCGTCATCAAAAGTGGAGTCTTTCAGCCGAGGCTGTTGTTTCTTTTTCATTGGGAGTGGTTCCTACGTGACCGGTCCCAAGCCGCACAACCTCGCTAAAAGAGTGTTATAAACTTTCCGACATATTTACACACACACAAGTGGCTCCCTATTTGTTTCAAGACCGACGCCCGCTCGCAGCCGCATCTCTGGTAAACAGACGCTACAATTAGACTTCAGGAAACGCTTAAACCGACTTAATGTCGGAGTGGTTCCGCTGAAGCTTCCTCAAGTTTTTTATACAAGGACTTAAATTCCATCGGTCCGTTTGTAGTGCGGCTCCTTACCCTTTTTATCCCATCATACAAATGAGCAGCTCCTTATGGAGAAACACAGATCACATCGATGTCGCAAAAACTGATGGACTAATTCATATATGTAGATACAGACGAACAGACAGGCCGATACGGCTTAACCGCTGATCATTTTTACATAAGTAGTATGTGTGTTTACAATTTATTTACCTATAGTGTTTTCTTGAATCTCCAACGAGTCTTCCACTATGGGACAGTTATATGGTTGTAACTGAGATACACCATCTATTTCAAGGCCATACATGCAATATTCTCCTCGGCTTAACTTCTGATTATCGTCTAAGCGCCACAAAATACCATCCTACAAAATTCCACAAATTTCTTAAATCCATAGTTTACATAAATAGATAATTATATAATATTATTTTACCTCATATAAGCGCCATTCTTCGCGTGAATTTTTATACGGGTTTAGCATATACCCATGATCACATGGTAATCCCGCCTGCACCAAAAAGTCTTTCAACGCATTCTGTAAAACCACACTACCATTAGACGAGGTAATATTTACATAAGGCGTATATTCGTATCCTTCAGACGATTCCGCACATTCCCATAGATTCTCAGTTCTAATCAGCTGCAACGTCTTCCGTGGATTGCAGCAGAGCTTTAAACAATTTTTAATTTGGCACACACAACCACGCAGATGTCTCGACACTTTTTGATGTTCTCCGTCGTACAGTTCAATGTAGTCATAGGAGCCGATCAAATGCGGTGGCACCAGTACACCTTCATAGAGGTAAGAACCGTTGCTAAAACTTTCCCAACCGGTTAAGTCAACGGTGTCTTCAAAAGCGCAATTCGGAATAATCGATAAAGCAACGAGTGAGTCCATTAAATAAATCACAAAGCATAAAGCAAGGCATATATGGACATTAAAGTTGGTACTCATTGCAGAATTTCCGTTTGTAGGGCAATCCTAGAATTTGATACATAAAAAAATTAAAATTTTTTTGGAACAATAAATGGAACTAAGTAAAATAAATTCATAGTATTATATGAAATCAACTTCATATTATTATATAGATGGCAACCCTGTTCAGAAAAATATATAATTGAAAAGAAAACAATATCTGGAGAAAGCCTTAAACAGTGTAACAGAACATAATGGTAACATCGAATTCTAATCAAGATCTATGTATATAGTAGATATAAATGAGCAGGATGATGAGACGAATTAAAATTCAGGTGGTTGGCCTTCCGTCTATCAGTCTGTCCGTGTATGCGATCACTTGTGAAAATAATTGAGATATCTTAGTTCCTTTTCACCACCGAAGGTTCGCGTTGCAGATGTGTGGAATCGGCTCATTGCCATGCCCACAAAACGCCATTAACCGAAAAAGTACAAGTGCTATAACTAAACTCCCTAATGAGATACAAATTTCTTTGTTTGGTACAACGGATTGCGTAAGGCAAGGACAACTCTGTTTTGAAAATGTTTAAAAAGTGAGCATGGTCTCACAAACACCTAGAGCTATATCAACCAAGTTAGCTCAAGAAAAATATTTTCTGTACCTCCGATGACAATGTGAAAATGGGCGAAATCAGATTATAGTACCAACCAAAACTGCGATAAATTCATAAATAAATGCTCTAGTTTAAAATTTAATTTTGCATGAGAGTGTACAAGAGAGCTTCAGAGGAGCTGGTGGCAAATTGGTGTCAATGATTGGGTGGTGACGCCCACATTAAGATAAAATCCCATATCTAAGAACGACTTAAATAAATTGGACCAAACTCGAAACAAACTTTACATTCCGCTGACATTCCTATGTTACATTGTGGAAATCAGCGAAATCGTATTATAATCACGCCTACTTCACATACATATAACAAAATTTTAAGTTCCATCTGATTCGTTCACTTTCCAGTAAATGAAATCAAGCACCAATGACTATATCGGAATAAAACTTTGCCCGAAAAATGCGTTTAAGATATGCCAACTTATGACTAAAAATGATCAAAATCTGACCAAAAGTGTTCAGGCCCCTAGGTACCGAATATATCGGTCAATGTGTGAGAAATACAATTGAAACTTAGACAGAGTCCTTTCCTGGTAATACTAATTATGTATGTCAAAAAAGGGTTGAATCGTTCCAATACTTCCCTGAGCCCTATAAACCTAATCTAAAGACTTATGAACTTCCGCGTGGTTTCACCCTACCGGATATATAGGCCAATATCTGAGTTATCTGAATTAAAATAAGAGAGAGTTTTAGTGTTTCTTTGGCTGACTTTGATGATTGTATGTGGGGAATCCTGATGAAACCTTGGGAGCATTTTATTTTTGGCAAAAAATAGATACAATCGAGTTACCACTATCTCCTATGTACCCAATATAAAATCTTCAAACTTTCGTCATAAGTAACTCAACTTATAATATTGGACACACTATGGCTTAATGCCAAAAATGACTGGATATATTTTATTATTTCATTACTCTAAATAAACTTATGCCAAATATGGCGGTCGATGTATGCGATATAATCAAGTGAGCATACTATTCACAGCACCATCACCCAACTTGAGACCTAGCATTCATTATTCGTTAATATTCGACCGAATAAACCACGTCTAGCGCGCAGTGAAGAAATGTAGCAGCCAATCAATCGATTTATTGAGAGAAAACTTCGATGAGCAGATAATTGCACGTTTGTGCCGGTTTATTGACCACTAAGATGGTGTGATATCACACCATTCAACTATTTCTTGTGGGGATATGTAAAGTCTAAAGTTTATGCGGACAATCTCGCTTCGATTCAGGCGTTGAGCAAAACATCGCGCGTATCATTCGCCAGTTACCAGTTGAAAAGTTCGAACAAGTCATCGAAATTGGATTCAACGGATGAACGTAGCCGCAGCCAAAATTTGAGATTGACATTTGAAGATACAATCTTCAAAATATAAATGCCATAGAATGTTTTTTTCTAATGATAGTAAATATTCCAAATTAAATTCGAAGTTTAGGGTTATATATACCAAAGTGATCAGGGTGACGAGTAGAGTTGAAATCCGGATGTCTGTCTGTCCGTCCGTCCGTCTGTCCGTCCGTCCGTGCAAGCTGTAACTTGGTACACGTATTTTCTGGCTTCATAAGAAGGTTAAATTCGAAGATGGGCGAAATCGGCAAACTGCCACGCCCACAAAATAGCGAAAACCGAAAACCTATAAAGTGTCATAACTAAGCCATAAATAAAGATATTAAAGTGAAATTGGACACAAAGGATCGCATTAGGGAGGGGCATATTTGGACGTAATTTTTTGGAAAAGTGGGCGTGGCCCCG